AAAAAAAAAAAAAAAAAAAAAAAAAAAAAAAAAAAAAAAAAAAAAAAAAAAAAAAAAAAAGAAAATGACAGAACCCTGAAAACAGTGACAAGCCAACCCAGACAACTGGTGACACGAGCCCAACAATTTCAAAGGTTTATTTCCTTAAATTGATATTACACAATATAACGCAAAGAGCAGGAAATCACACAAAATTTCCTTTAAAATTGACAAATGGTCCAGCATGACCAGGTGGAGGACAACCAGTGGCAGCGTTCTTGAGTTGAGGCACCCAGAACCTGCTCGGACACACGCACACGCGGCCGCGATGGAAGCCAGAGGACCAGGGCCCCGGGCAGGATCCCCGCAGTGCCAGCTTCCCAGGACTCGGGATTCCAGTCGGCCATGAAGCAATAAATACGAACATGCCCCACAATGTGAGAATAAAGCCATCAGGGTGATGAGGAAGAAGTCACGGGGGTTTTCTTCTTCGAAGTCCAAGCACAGTGGCAATATTTCAAGTATTGCAAAGAAAAACACACGTGTGTGTATTTTTGTCTATTACGTGGCGTGTGACCCTGGAACCCCCGCATGGGTCCATGGCCCCACCGCTGCCTCCCACACACCGGGGATTCATTCAAGTAGATTCAGGCAAGGCTGACCGAGGGCTGGGCAGACCAGGGGAGCCCAGGCGAGGTCTGCAGCGCATGCCCGCCTGGAACCCGAAAGGCCGGCCTCTCTGCGGACACCATCGGTGGCCCTGGGCAAGGCCGAGGCAAGCAGGGACAGGGCTGTCATCAGGCCTACCCTGCCAAGGAGCTGACATCAAAACTGTCAAAGCTGGAAGGGAGCTTTTGCATATTTTACTTTTTCTGAAGTATTCCCCTCATCTGCCCCCAGGCCCAGATGGGGAGGGTGCTGGGCACACACCTGTCCTGCTGCTGCCACAGGGAGAGGGCAGGGGACAGCCACCGACACAGGTATGCACAGAGCAGCCTCACCCACCCTCCACGCACACCCCTGCACCTCTGCCTCTAACCTGACCCGGTCCTCACCCTCCCAAAACCAATTCTTAAACACCTACAAGTTTTCTCCATTAAAGAAAAAATGAGCTGCATAAAAATAAGACACATTTTAGGAATAAAGTGTGAGAAACGACAAGACGTTCCAGGGCTTAGAGCGCGGTGCCTCTGCTGCCGGTCCCCGGGGAAGCACCTGAAAAAAGCAGCGCCTCTCCCTCCAGCGCATGGCTCCTCGCCCGGAGCCCGTTCCCCTCCCGAGGTCCAGGCCAGGGCAGCTCCGTGGCCAGTGCTCAGGCTTGGAGGCCCTGGCATATGTGTCCACGTATGTGTTATGTACAAACACCAGGCCACTGCCAGGAATCGCTGCCCAGCAGTCCCTGGTGAGGTCCAGGCTCTGTCTCTCATCTGCATAAAGTGCTCAGTGGCTGACAAAGCTGGGTGGGCGTCTCGGAGGGAGAGGCTCCTGGAGATGGGGATGCCGAGGCCGCAGGCTCTTCCTGGGCACAGCGACTGCTGACCTGGCCTGAGCAGGAGCTCGCTTTGGCTTTGAGTCGGCAGCGGTCTCAGGCCCTTTGCCTGTCCTCTGGCGCTGCCCTGGGGCTAGAGGGTGGTGGCAACCATGCCTGCTGTGCCAGGCAGCTGGAGGAGCAGAAGTTCTGTGATCCCCACCTGCAAAAGATGGGAGAGCCCCGCAAGCTGTGTGGCTCCTGATCTGCTGGTTTCGCCACGTGACCTGCAGGAAGTCTGGCAGGCTGACGGTCCGTGGGGCCCCGGGCAGGGCTCAGCACCAGCGATCGCTACCATGGGTTTGTCTTGAGGAGTCCCACCAGCACACGGAGCCCACCCTGCAGGTCTCGGCAGAACCCGGAGCCCAGCCAGGCCAGAAAGGTCAGGCACAGATGCCAGTCAGCAGCGCTGAGAGTCTCCGCTCAATGCACAGCTTGCCTGCGAAGGGAGAGGGAGCATGAAGGAGACGCCCAGAGCCCCCAGCCCCCTGCCTGGCGTGGCACTCACACTTGGCGACGTTCTCGATGTCGGCCTGGTCCGAGAGCATGTGCTGCAGCCCCTCCAGGAGCAGCAGGGCCTTGTGGTAGCGCGGCACGCAGCCCTCGCGGTGCTGGAACATCTCGTCCAGGGCGGCCGACTGTACCTGGGGGTGAGGGCAGAGGCTGCACAGGGCCCGTTCACTCACGCCCTCCCGCAAGGGCTTCCCTGCACCCACGGCAGCACCCAGGGTGGCAGACAGGTGCTCAGGGCAGCAACGTGGGGGCACAGGCGCTGATGCCGCCTGCCATGTACAGGGGCTGGCCACAGGGCCTGGAACCGGATGACCGCGGCTGGCGCTGTTGGCCCCACCCCAGGACAACAGTGCCTGCTGCTCAGGGTCATTACTGCGGCTGCCTGGCCGGCCTGGCGGGGAAGCAGGGGCAGAAGGCACTGACTTTCCCCAGGTTTGTTCAGACTGGATCTTTACTACACGCATCATTTTTCTTTAAAAAGGAGACTCAGACACTTACGAGCTCATGCCTGTGATCCCAGCATTTTGGGAGGCTGAGGCAAGAGGATCACTCGAGCCCGGGAGACAGCAGCTGCACTATACTTCAGCCTGGGCAGCAGAGCAAGACCCTCTCTCTTTTTTTTTTTTTTGAGCTAGCTGACATTTTATTTTGGACCAAAAAAAAAAAAAAAAGCCAATTGCATTGTTTTGCAGCTGGAGGCATGGGCAAGGGGGGTCCCCGGGCAGTAAACTCCCCGCGGGTGGGCTGAGGGCTAGGGCTGAGCGTCGGATGGGTCTCCCATTCCCTGTGCTCCCCTGTACAGCAACCTCCCTCCCGGGTTCTGGGGCAGCCTCAGGAGGAGCAGGCTAGGAGGGGCTGTTGCAGCTGTTCACTTGGGCAGGACGTCAGAGGACTCAGACACCGGCCTCCCATTGAGAAGACCCTCTCTTTTAAAAAAAATGCTGGGCACGGTGGCTCACACCTGTAATTCCAACACTTTGGGAGGCCGAGGTGGGCAGATCACAAGGTCAAGAGATCAAAACTATCCTGGTCAACATGCTGAAACCCCGTCTCTATTAAACAATATATAAAAATTAGCTGGGCATGGTGGCGCGTGCCTGTAGTCCCAGCTACTCAGGAGGCTGAGGCAGGAGAATCGCTCGAACCTGGGAGCTGGAGGTTGCAGTGAGCCAAGACTGTGCCACCTGGCAACAGAGACTCTGTCTCAAGAAAAAAAGAAAGGGCCCCAGCTCAGAGGCAGCTCTTCAGAGCCCAAGCAGGGAGCCTGTGCTCGCAGTGCCACTGGGCAGCCTGAGGACACCACACTTCAGACAGGTTCTCCTGGCCCGGCTGTGACTGACGCCTGGAGACTGACACCTGCCTGCAAGGCCTGAAGACCAAGTCTCTCGTTTTACAATTGGGGAAACTGAGCCTTGGGGTGAGGCATGGCAGGACGCACACGGGTCGGGGCACATGTGCAAGCGAGCATGCACGAGCTCTGAGCACCTGCTGGGGGCACCATGCCATCACTTCCAGAGACCTCCAGAAGTGACTCCCCCGAAGTCTCACCAAGCTGTGGGCATCTCCCAGTGGAGACAGCCGGCCTGAAGTTGCAGCCCGTGCCCCGCTGGTGTCTGCCCATCCCATACCATCTGCACGGCGTGGCTGAAGATGAGCCTCTCCGCAGTGATGCTGTGGATGCGGTCCAGGAGCCGCTGCTTGTCTAGGAAGAAGCGCTGCAGCCGCAGGCTCAGGCCCTGGCAGGACACCACGCTGGCCTTGTACAGCTCATTCAGCCTGCGCACCACTGCAGAGGACAAGGGCGGTCAGCTCGGGCTGCAGCAGACACGGGGCAGGCTGCAGTGGTCACGTCCCTCCCTCCCTGCCACAGCCCTGGCTTCCCGCGGCCTTCAGTGTGTGGCCAGGCTCAGCACCTTGTCCGGGCACCGTCGGACCCCATGGCCTCTGTGCTCTGCACGCTGGGCCAGGCCCCAAGGCCCTGCACTGCCCTTTCTGGCTGCTGCCCACCCGGCTGGGGCCTGCTTGAGCAGCCTCCGTGTCACCCTGTCTCCAGACAGTTGCAAGGCGGGCTTCCTACCCAGCCTGCCGTGTGGGCTGAGCGTGGGCGGTCCTCACCCTGCTTCACAGTGGACGACAGGCAGAGCTTCCCGGCCCGGATCTGGTCGATGGCCGTCTGCAGACCAGAGGACAGCAGCTCGGCCACCTTCAGGTACAGCACCAGCTGCTCTGCAAATCTGGGGGCGGCAGGCAGATCGAAGGAGACAGGCTGGTCCTGGCCCCCAGGCCATCACCCGCCCTGCCCTGCCAGCCCCACCAGCACCCACCAGCACCCACCCCCATTCTCGGCTCAGCAGGCTTATCTGGTCGGCCACCACGCTCTCCTGCAGCTGGTACGCAGGACCCCCGGCTGCCTCGCTGGCACTGCCCTTCAGGGCTGCAATCTCCAAAACGTGCTGCACGAAGAGCAGTGTGAAGCGCAGGCCGTGCAGGATCTCCGTGTGCTCTTGCTGTGGGAAGTGGCTGTCAGCCTAGCACACGCTGCCCCGCTGAGGAGGGGCTTGTCTCCCTTGAGACTCGCTGATGTCACCTTGCGGGGGGCAGGGCAGGGTCCCCTCCCCTGCTGCAGCCTGGGCAGCTGGCATGGCACTCCCAACACCCCTGGGACTGCAAGGCCCACACACCCTCGAGCCAGAATGGAACCTCTGCTCACTCCAGCCCTCACCTCCATGAGGGTCTCCTCGGGTAGGTCGGGGGCCTCGAAGGTCACACCCCCCTCCAGGTTGGCAGCAATGGGGTCGGCAAAGCTGCAGCCACGTCCTGGAGCAGAGAGCTCGGGGGCTGGGGCCTCACTGCAGGCTCCAGGCCCCAGGTGGCGGGCAGAGGAGCCAGCGGAGCCCACTGCAGGGAGGAGGCAGTCAGGGGCAGGGCAAGTCGCGACGAGCAGACACCACGGCCCACAAGCCCCCAGGCTCCGCTCTAACAGAAGCATAGCAGGCTCCTAGAGCCCCTGCTCAACCTCTAGCCACTTACCACAGCCCCCAAGTCCCCAGCCCCCACCTCAGGCCAAGAGCTGCGGTGCCCATCAAGGGACCCTCTGGGTATCCCGGCCCCCAGTCAGACCTGCCTGGAGGAAAGCAGCTGCCACCGTCTGGGATGGGGTAGTTGGGTGGCCTGGTGTGCTACTGTGCCCCACAGGTGGGCCTAAGGGCCGAAAGGAACTCAAAAGGAAAGGCAGCCCCCACCCTCATTATGGAGCTGAGAGGTAACCCTAGCAATGGCAGTCTCTGGCCAGGATCGGACCCCCACAAGACCATCCCTCCACAGGCAGAATCCACAGTGGGAACCCGGCCAGGCCCCAGGCCCAGAGCTCCCCAACACCATTGCTGGGGAACCGAGGGCACACCTGTCTGTGTGGTCTGTGCCCATCACAGCGACTCCTGACCAACACAGCATAGCCCACAATCCAGACACCATCCCTGCTCAGCTTGTTTTGGGCGTAAATGGCAATGAGCACCTTTCGCTCACAGGTTGAGGGGCAGGGAAGGCCTGAAGGGGGGTACCAGAACCACATCCATTTTGCATATGGGGAGACAGAGTGTGGGTTTCTCGGGCCTGAGCTGCTTCCTCAGACACCACTAGGCTCTGGTCTGGGGGACCACAGTCCAGTGACCCAAGTTGACACCCCCCTCCCCTAGGGTGCTGCCATCACCCCAAAAGGGACAGGGCCTCAGCTCAGCCAGCCCTCACCTGAGAACATTCTGGTGCGGGGTGCCTGGGGTGGCGTGCTCCCACTCGGGGGAGAGCCCACGGTGAACACTACGGGGGCGGGGCTGCTGGCACCCCCAGCACGGGCTCCTGGATGCAGGCTCCCTCCAAAGCCAGCTGAGGGTGCTGGGAGAGCAAGGAGGGTCTCAGGAGCGTCCTGGACGCCCCTCCCCCCACAGCCTCCGAGCCCCGCCCACACACCAATCTCCATGGGCTTCTCCTGCAGGCTCTCTGTGCTGCCAGGGTCTGGCGCTTGTGTCCCAAACGCCGCCTTCAGGAGCAGGTCGGTGAGACGGCTCGTGCTGAAAGACCTGTGGGAGGGTATGGGGCCATGCTGGAGGCCCGGCCCGCCCCACCCCACCCTAACTGGGCCTTGAGGGGACCCTCTGCAGGCCAGACACATATGATGCACGGGCCCCTAGCCACCTTGGGAGGCAGGAGCGCTCCGGTCACCCTGGCTTACGGGCAGGCATGCCGAAGCTCAGGATGGAGCCTGCGGGGGCCTAGGCCCAGCCACAGGTAGGCCAGCCTCTCTGGCACCCAGCCACACTGGGTACCCACGGGAGGGTGGGGACCAGGCTTTTCCTGTCGCCCGCCCCCCCACCGGAGGTACACAGCAGGACAATGCAGGGGGGCGGGGTCGGTGCATCCGGAGCCTGTCCAAGGCCTATCTCCCCAACTCACCGGCCAAAGGGACCCTTGGGGTCCTCGCCTGGCCGCAGGCCAGGGCCCAGCGGCTGACCATGGAAGGGTCCCACCTCAGAGAGGTCGGGCAGCGTCCGGTTTCGAGGGGGTGTCATTACCACGCCCTGCCGGGCTAGGAGGGCCAGCAGGTTCTGGGAGCTGGGAGTCTTTGGGAAGTCGAAGGAGGGCACAGCCTAGGAGGACAGAGATGGAGTGACTCTAACCCATCTGAAGCCCTGGGGCCCAGTGCCTGGGGGAGACAGCTGCGTCTGCGGAAACCAGCAAGGCACGTGGGAGCGGCCTGAGCGTGAGCCCCGGAGGGGGTCAAAGGCACAGAGCTGCCTCCCTTGGTCTTTGTTCAGGACTGGCCACCCTCACCCGCCTCTTCCCCAGGGCTCTGTGCCCCTGGCACACACACGGCAGTGCCCGTTACCTTGGTGGGGGAGCCCAGGATGGGGGGCAGGGGGTTTCGCTGCAGGAAGTCAGGCAGCTTGGGTGAGCCCCGCAGGTTCCGGCAGGACTGTGGCCCGTGGGACGGCTGGGGAGGGCTGGCCTGTGGAGGGCTGAACACGGCTCCCAGGGGGTCCGTGGGGGGTTTGGGCAGCTTGGGGCGGACAACGTGCAGGTCGGACAGGTTGGGGGCGCTGTGCAGGCGGCAGCCCAGCCCGGAAGTGCGGGTGGAGTGCTCGGGCGCAGACGAACCTAGAGAGAGACAGGCCTCTCACTGCCTCCGACTCCCCGTCTAGGGACCCAGCCCTGGACAATCCCTTTGCTACTACATGGAGGCCCCTTGGGGTAGCCGAGCTCTAAAACCCACTGTTACACCTGACCCCAGCCAGCACAGAGGGGCTGAGCATCCTGCCCAGCTCGCACAGCCAGGAGCCGGAGAGGCAGCTGGCTTCTGTTCCATGAGCTTCCTTCCCACTCCTTTCTACTCGGAAAAAGCAAGGACTTTAGACCAGAACGAACACCCGAGCAAGGGAGGCCTGGCCTCCCCACCCCCTCCCACCCCACACCTGCAGACTGCACCTACCTGGACGAGGGGACCTGCCACCACACATCTCTGCTCCCTGTGGGGAGGGCGTCCCGCTCCAGCCTGGCCGCTCAGGGATGGTTCCAACTTGGGGCAGAGAGAGAGCTGCCAGAGTCAAGCTGGGACAGAGACAGCGTGCCTCCTCCCCCACCGCCCACAGACGCCCCTTCCCAGGCCCCGCCTGCAGGCGCACCTTGAGGGGATGGCGTGAAGGGCCGGCCTCCACCCAGGGACATCTTCCTGGCCAGGACGCCTCCATGCTCAGCGTGGGCAGGGGGTGAAGGGCTAGCCCGTGCAAAGCCCAGGGGGCTGGTGCTACCTGACCTGCGGATGGCAGAGGACCTGGGGACAAGGCAGATATTAGGAGGGAAGGCCCCAGCAGCCCAGGGCCCCATGCCATGCCAAGTGGCTACAGTGCTGACAGACGGCTCACCCTCTGCTGCACTCCGTCCAAGTAACTGGCCACACAGTGGGTGTGTGGGAGGAGATTACCCCTTAGCATTCCTGCCCAGGGTGCCAACCCAAGTCACCCTCACCTAAGTCTCCGCCCCCTGTCAGACACCCACTGGCCCACACAGCCTTCTGTGAGTTCAAAGAAAGGTACCCTTCCCTCCCACCATTTACTTCTGTTAAAACGGGCCAAAGTCAATATTGATTTTATCAGCTCAAGACGTTTTGGCAATCAGAAAACTGTCAAAATTACTTTAGAAAGCCAGGAAAGCAACAGAGTGAACGGTGCACAGCCCGCACAGCCGCACATGCACGGCCACCTGGTCCCTCCATGGGAGCCGTGGAAGGACTCCAGCCACACACGCCCCTGGGCCGCGCCTGGCTACCGGGGACCCCGCACTCACCGAGGCGTTTGAAACAGGGTGGGTGACTGCAGGTTTCGCTCGATGCGCTGGTAGTTCTGCACCTGCGTGGGGACCGGGATGGGGACCGAGGCGCCACACCTGCTGCTGGAGAACGGGCCAGCCCGGCTGTGGCAGAGAGAGATCAGGGTCACGACAGACACTGGGGTCACAAGAGGGTGAGGTCATGAAGCTGGGCCGCCGGAAGAAAGCCTAAGCCCAGACTTGCAAGCTAGGACAGAGGTCACCCTGGGCTCCATGCCAGGTCTGAAGAGCCGGCCTCTGTGCCTCTACACACACCAGCACGGTGGCACTTGCACCCCACCTGGACTCCCGGTGTGACCCAGCCAGTGGGAGGCCGCCCTGAGCGTTGCTGGCCCCACAGGCTCAGGGGCTGCAATAGGGCTGTGCTGGCCCTGGCACCCCTGGTTGGTCCTCACTCACCTACGTCAATACGCCCCCCACTACAGTCCCTTCTGCAGGACGACCCAGCAGACCCGGCAGTCCTGCGAGGCCCGGAGAAGGCAGGGGGGCCTCGACACGGGCGGCCCAACCTCCAGCTGGAGGGCTGCTCACAGCCCCACCCACCCTGCCTGGGCCCTGCTTACCCTGAGGGACTAGGGGAGCTGCTGCAGGGTGGGGATGGAGATGGGGTCCGGCCATGGCTCTCCAGGCCCACAGAGGCCACCAGCGAGCTCCTGTGGAGAAGGGATGCCAAGGGCATTTTCAAGCCACATTCGGCACAGAGCTCAGCCTGCCCTGCGCCCCACCAGTCCCGCCTGCCGTGGACTCGGCAGTGTCAGCCCTCCCCAAGCTGCCTGATGACTCCAGGCACGGGTAGCATGGGCCACCTCCAAGACCAGCTTTTCTCCTCTAAAATACAGGGCTGAGGGATGGGCGGCTCACCCACTGCACATCAGGCTGTCTGGAGGGGGCTTGGCACTGGGTACCTCAGCAACCAGGTCACCTGCAGGGGAAGACAAGGCTGGGCCTGGAGCCCTTACAGCCTGCCCAGGCCCCCCCACACCACTGGGGGTCCCTGCTGGACCCCCGCACACACTCCACCTTGCAGGCCCTCAGCGTGGACAGCAGCCTTGCAGGGTGCAGAGCCAGGGCGGCATGTCCAGGCTACATCCTCCCTGCCAGTGCCAGGCCAGCCCCGGGAGACCAGAGCACCACCTGCCTCCCTTTCTCCACACTTGAACTGTGCTTCCTCTCTCCCGTGTCCTCCGCCCCAGAGGCCTCTGGGCCCCTGCCCTCCAGCCTTCAACAGACTCTAGGACGGGTAGGGGAGATCAAGCATCCACAGCTCTTAGTCTGGGCCCAACCCCCTCCAGGAATGCCTAGGTTCCCGCCCCCAAGGAGGCTCTGGCCTGCCCCTGGTCCCCGTCTTCTTGTTGCCCTGAAAGCTGGCAAAGGGTCAAGGCCCTCCCCGGGTCCATCCCTGGGTCTGTCTGGGGCCTGGCTCAGGCCTCACCACCCCCGCAGGAGCCAAGCTGACGGGAGATGCAGAGGGCTCTGCGTGAGTCACTGTGTCCCTGGTGGACACGGGGGCCAGTGCCAGCCCAGACCTCCAGGAGCTTTAGGACATCCAGGGACAGACTGCAGGGCCCTCGGAGGAGCCACAGGCCCCAGGCCTGCTCCAAAAGTTCAGGCACCTTCATTCAACAAACACGTGCGCAGTCCCTGGACACTATGGAGGAGAGGGTCCCAAAATGCTAAGGAATAAACCCATCTGCAGGGTGTGGGGGCAGCAAGAGCTGCTGGGAAGCAAGCAGGAGATACATGGCGGCAGGAGGGAGGGGCGTGAGGCAAGCAGCCACCACCCAACCAGAAGAGCAGCACTGCCTGGGGAGCCAGGCCTACGGCCTCTGGCCGACCACTGGGAGGACCCGGCTTTGACTCCCCAGAGACGGCCTCTCCAACCAAGCTGAGCTGATGCCGGTGCACCCAGGGGCCCGTCCTGAGTGTCCGTGAGAGGAGATGGGCTACACGGTACGCCCAATAAGCGCAATGCACGCTCCCTGCACCTCAGGGGCACCTCTGAGCCCTGACCTGGAAACTGCGCGGGGACCATGACGAAGTCGTCTGTGTCACAAGAGGAGTCCTTGCTGCCGCCAGAGTCCCGGGAGCTGTGCAGGAAGCCGGTGGCGTCAGCTGGGGAGGTCAGGGTCTTCTGTAGCTGCTGCATCTCGCCCAGGGACTGGGGGTCAACGGAGGGGCTGGTGAGCAGGGCTCAGGGACCCAGATACTCAGAAGAGCAGATCTCCCCTCCTTCGGGATAGCCCAGAACCCCAGTAAAGATCAGGGTGCTTGGGCTGAGAAGGGCTGGGTGTGTCTCTTCCTGGAGCTCTGCTCTCCTGTGCTTCCAGAAGACTCCACCCACAGGCCAGCCTTTGAGCTTATAGGGACAGTCCCCTGACGAGCCCTCCCACCATGCAGCCTGGGTGGGTAGAAGCCCTCGGCTCCCGGCCGTTCTGGAAGGCCCTGTTTTGGGGAGTTGTTCACCACCTGCTCTCTGCACCTCACTTGTCCATCTGCACAGCCAAGAAAACAGGTGCTGTGGGAGGGCGTGTCCAGTGTGGCGGCCTCTGCCACCACTGGTGGGCCCTGCTCTGAGGCCAGCGCCATGCTAAGGCCCAGCACACACCATCCACGTGGTGGTGGCTGAAGCCCCATGTGTCCTAGGGCCACTCTGCGGAGGGCCACACTCCCCTCGCCACATCTGAGCGTCTGGCTATCAACAGGTGGACAAGGAAGCTCAGAGGTGCGGTCCGGTCACAGAGGAGGGGGCCAGGCCAGGAAAGCCCAGTCACGAACTCATCACCACCAGCCACAAACATCACGCCCGAGAGCCAGGCGCTTGTTCAGATGGGCAGATGGACGGCCCAGGGCTGGAGCCCCTGACTGCTGAGTGGAGGGAGAAGCTGTCAGGCCCCTGGGGCAGCAACTCACCGGCGGGGAGGCCAGGTGGGAGGTGGAGCTGCTGCTGGAGCTGCTACCAGACCCAGAGCTTGGGTACGAGGGCACAGGCACAGGCGGGGCTGAGAGAAAAGGGCATAGATCAGTCTGTGCCATCCCATCCCCTCCTCACCCTTGAGCCAACCCACAGACTGGACCAACTCCACCACATCCCCTCCACCTCCCGCTGCACCCCGAGCTGCAGAAGGGTGCGAGGCTCCTCCTGAGGCACCCACGACTGTCACAGGGCAGCACCAACCTCTCCTACACCGCATCCCCGTGCCCTCCCAAGCCTGTGGCACCAGGCCTGCCCCTGGCCTTGGGGTTCCCGCTGCAGCAGATCAAGAAGCTGGGTGCCCTGCCCTCCCTGGGATCCAGCTTCAGCTCAAGGGCTGCTCCCTCTGCCCCATACTCAGGGTCTAACCAGACCAGGGAGGAAGGTGTGCAGACCCCTCCCGAGCCCCCAAGACCCAGGGAACTCACACTTCCTGACTGAGGGGCTGGCGTCGAGGAAAGGGTGATGGAAAAACTCATCTGTAGGAGAAAGGAGGGTGAGGCCTCAGGAGGACCCGACTCTGATCCCAGGCCCCACCTCCCCAGGGACAGAGCTCCAGCGGCTGCGGGGCCCCTGCCCCCGGGAGATGGAGCACGTGAAGCCCCCGCCAGCGCTGGCTGCCCAGAAGCGCAGCGTGCACGCGGGGCTGGGGCGAAGCGCGCGGCCACAGCAGCAAACACGGAGGGAGCGGAGCTCACCGAAGTCCATGCGGTCCTTGTGGTTGCGCTGGAGCAGGGCCAGGAGCAGCTGGCGCAGCGGGGCTGAGGTCTCCCGTGGGATGCTGGGGAGAGGAGGCTGGTGTGGGCAGGGCCGGCCGGGGGAACCCGCGGGGAGGGGCGGGGGGACGCGCTTACGTGGGCACCAGCGTCTTATTCTTCTCATAGAACAGGCGCAGGTCCTGCGGGCTGCTGGCCTGCGGGGACAGGGCGGCCTGAGTGGGGTCGCGGGTGGCACCCGGCGGGCACCCCACTCACTGCTCCAGGTGCAGGCGCGGTGGGCGCTATAGGCTCTCGGGGTGACTGCCCCGCCTCCCACCGGCGCGCCCTCCCTGGGGGACACCGAGGCCCGGTCCTCCGCACCCCTGGACGCCTGCCCCGCGCCACAGCAGAGCCTGCCCCGCCCGCGGGGTGTCTGCCCGCGGTCACCGCCCGGAGCGCAGGGCTGCGCCCAGTTACCTGGAAGGGTGCCTTCCCGGTCAGGCACTGGTAGACGATGGTGCCGATGCTCCACAGGTCCGCCTTCCCGTCGTAGTGCTGCGACATGATGACCTCAGGAGCCTGCGGGCCCAGAAGCGCAGGTCCGGGTGAGGCCCCCACAGACACCAGAGCGGGCCCGCCACGCCCCAGCCAACCAGAGCAGAGCCCTCTCCGCCCTAACTAAGCGGACGAGAGCCCACCACACCACAGCCAAGCCCCTGCCCAGCTAGGCGCCCACCCGGCCAGGACAAACGCACCATGTACATGGGGGAGCCGCAGAGCGTGGCCGCCATCATGTTGCTCTGGAGGTACCGCGCGAAGCCGAAGTCAGCTGCGAGAGAGACACATCAGGACGGGCGCCGGGGCTCCCCGCCGTGCCCGCCTGCCCACCTGCCCGCCTGCCCGCCCGGTGCTCACCGATCTTGACGCGGATGCTGTTGGGGTTGGCGCGGCGGCCGGCGGGGTTGGACAGCAGGATGTTCTGCGGCTTCAGGTCGCGGTGGATGATGCCCTTGCTGTGCAGGAGCCGCATGGCGCCCGCGATCTGCTGCAGGAAGAGCCTGATGGTGTCCTCGCTCAGCGTGCGCATGGCTGCGGGAGAGGCGGCTCAGGGCTCGGCGGGTCGGGCGGCCGCATGGACCGAGAGGAAGCCCAGCCCTGGGCAGGGGCGGCGAGCCGGGTCCGGAGGGGCATGGGGAAGGCTCGGGGCGCACCCGGAGCCCCAGCGCTGCAGCTGCTGCAGGGACTCAACGCGGCCACCCAGCCCTCCGCCCTCCGTACTGCGCGGGCAGCAGGCGCTGCCGGGAACCACTTGGTCCCTGGAGGGTACAGCGGCCGGACACGTGCTGGGAGCCCGGCCCGGGAGAGAGCAGCACCTCTGTGCCCCCCCTTCCCGGCATCCAGACAAAGGCCAGCTCTGAGCAGCCCTGATCCGCAGCCCGAGTCCCCGCGTTGGCGCGTCTCAGCTCTGCACGGCCTCAGCGTCTATCTCCCAGGACGGAGATGGTGGGGTCCTCCCGGTGGGTCTGTGCCCTCAGGCGGGGGAGACGCACCCATACTCCCACCCCAGCACTGAGGGCCACGCACAGCTGAGCAGGTTTGAGAGCGGCCCTGCGGACTCCCAGGTGCCCAGGCCCGAGCCCCCTCCAGACCCTCAGGATACCCCAGAGGCCACCGGCCCCACACATGCCTCCTGTGGCCCGGACCCACTTGGGAAGGCTGAGAACAGACGGGCAGCGCCCTCTGCCGTCCTGCCCACCCCCCCACAGCCGTGGTCGCACGGCTTAATTCTGGGTGGGCCAAGAGCTGCCTTCCAGCCACATTATGGAGACCAGCACTGCACCCGTGCCACTCCCAGGGCCGTCACTCCACCAGAGGCCTGGCACTATGCTGATCACAGCTGTCTCCCCAAGCAAAGGGGAGGTGCGCAGACGGGCGGCATCCTAACGTCCGGAGCAACTCAGCCTCCCGCATCCTCTCAGGAGCCCCAGGGAACAAGAAACCTGGTCTCACAATCAGCCAGGGACCCCCTCAAGCCAGGCCGCCTCCCAGGCTGGGCCAGGGTAGCCCTGAGGTGGGGCCCCGTGGGACGGGCTGGCAGCCCATCTGCTGTGCCGGTGCACTCACTGTGCAGGTAGTCGGCCAGGTCCCCGCCGTTGCAGTACTGTCAAAGACCAGACACACGTCAGGCTGCAGCAGGGGCCAGGGCCCACCTCCCAGCCTCCCCACCCCTCACACTTGGACACTGTTCCCTGGACCCTCAGGCACCCATCCACCCTAGGGTGGGTGTCCCCACACTCCCAGCTGGAAGACATCAATAGTGCTCAGCAGGTGCAGTGGCTCTCGCCTGTAATCCCAGCACTTTGGGAGGCCGAGGCAGGTGGATTGCTTGAAGTTGGGCGTTCAAGACCAGCCTGGCCAACACGGCAAAACCCCGTCTCTAATAAAAATACAAAAATTAGTCGGGCATCGTGGCCCATGCCGGTAATCCCAGCTACTCAGGAGCCAAAGGCAGGAGAATCGTTTGAACCTGGAGGCAGAGGTTGCAGTGAGCTGAGATCATGCCACTGCACTCTGGCCTGGGTGACAGTGAGACTCCATCTCAAAAAAAA